CGGACGGACGCCGGACGAAAAGCGATCACAAAAGCTCACCCTGTCACTTTGTGACAGGTGAGCTAAAAAACATTTCCCCTATACAAGTCAACCCTTGTTTCTAAATTTTAGCATTTCATTGATTTTTCTTACTCAAATAACTCAGTGATTATTTTATTCATGATCAAATTTTAAAAGCCTGAAATGTCTATTAGCACATACATAATACATCCCATCAAATTTAAAATATTAAAAGCACATTTTTTTAATGTTCAGATTATTAGACAGTTGAGCTTAACCCATTATTTATATGTCTGGATATCTGAAATCCCTCATATACTATACCTATAATTATTAAATCCTATATTAAAACCCTTATACCTTATTCTCTAAATAATAATGTAAAAAGACTAAATCTTACAATTAATAATGTAATCTCCATGATAACTATTATCTAAAAGCAAAACAATTCTCTTTGAAACCTCTCCATCAACATAAAATTATTATCAACATAATCATACAATGATAAAATTTATAATTCTATTAATTCATAATTTTAACTCTGTACTTCATAATTTCTCCTTTATATTATTTAAATACCCTTAAAATAGATGAATGTCAATACAGCAGTAACTGATAACAGTCTGCAGCTTATCGTCACCTTAGTGCAAGAACTCAATATCTGCTTCTTTATCTATATGCAGTTATTGAGTTTTTGCACTCAGGTGACGTTATGTTCCCTCCATCTCAATTACTCCCCAATTACTTTTTTTCAACCACATGCATGCCACCCCCCAACCCCCCCCCCCCCCCCCCCCTTAACTACCACTACATATATTATTAAAACTTGATTACATATTTCATAAAATCTAACAATTTTTATTTCTGGTAAAGTATTTCCACAGTCAAGATTTTTTTAATTTCCCTGTATTCATGCTTTCTTCCCTCCCAAATTCCTAAATTGCCATGACTTTCTTGCTTAATCTTCCTTCCATAGTTTTTCTTTAAATTATACAGTCCCTTCTAATACATCAAGTCAATGATTTTTCCCTCTCCTCTTGTCCTTTATATGCCCTCCTTCATTACAGTTTAACATCCCCTCCCAGCTTCATTTATATCAATTTATTAATTACCCTTTAGTTTTTTTTACAAATCCAATTTTAGATTCCTTCCCTAATTCCTTCCCCACATCCCATATTGCCAAAACCCCTAAATATCGTTAAAAGCAAAATAAAAATCTGAATTATTTAATGAATTACCTTATCCAATTCTTTTCACCCATATTTTCATTCCTTTTTCTTCGAACAATCCTTTCATTCTAACTTACCTTTTTTTTCAAAGTTTATATTTGTATATTTCATTAAGTTATAGATACTATCAAAATCACAAACCTGTGCAGTATAGAAGGTATTTTGTTTGTATGAGAATATGAGTTTTGAATGATGTATGTAACAGATGTGATTTTTTTCCTAGGTAAATCTCAGACAAATTCCTGCAGGTATCAAACTTTATTGTAGGACTACTGTAAACCCAGTTTGTTTATTTAAACTTTAATTTAGCAAGCCTTACACTGTTTCAAAGCATGATTAATTTAAACATTGATCATAACATACAAAGTGGTGTTTTTTATTCATTATAAAATAAATAATACTTGTCAGTTTTACAAAATTATATAATCATATGTTTATATAGACAGGATATAGTGAAGTATAAGTTAAAGACCCTCTTTATTTAGCATGCAGGTGGCAGATTCAGTAGCAGAAAAATGCAATAAGTGGCAGGTGCTTGCAGAAGCAAAATGATACAAGATTTTGTACTTCAAGAACTTCAACTTTTGCAACAGAAAAAGCTTTGAATGTGCATTAACCATTAACGGTGACCAATAAAATACCACAACTGGAAGACAAAAAGTAAAATGACATTTGACAACTGATGGCCTTTGGTGACAGACTTATTACTTATGATGCCAGATTGCCTTTGATGCCAGATTACCTTTGATGATATTATGACCTTTGATTATAGACTACTTTTCATGAAAGATGACATTTGATGACAAAATGACCTTCAAAAATAGATTACTTTTGATGACCCATGGCCTTTGATGACAAAATGACCTTCAAAAATAGATTACTTTTGATGACCCATGGCCTTTGATGACAAAATGGCCTTTGCTTTGATAATAGATTACTTTTGATGACCAATGGCCTTTGATGACAAAATGACCTTTGATAATAGATTACTTTTGATGACCCATGGCCTTTGATGACAAAATGACCTTTGAAAATATATTACTTTTGATGACCCATGGTCTTTGATGACAAAATGACCTTTGATAATAGATTACTTTTGATGACCCATGGCCTTTGATGACAAAATGACCTTCAATAACAGATTACTTTTGATGACCGCTGGCCTTTGATGACAAAAATGACCTTTGATACTATATTACTTTTGATGACCGCTGGCCTTTGATGACAAAATGATGGCCTTTGATGACCTATGACCTTTGATGATAGTTGCCCTTTCATAATATTTTCTAATGACCTTCAATTATCAATGGCCCTTGACAACAGATGGTCTTTGATAATAGATGACCTTTATATACCAATGGCTCTTGACAACAGATAGCCTTTGATAATAGATGACATTTATATACCAATGGCCCTTGACAACAGATAGCCTTTGATAATAGATGACCTTTATATACCAATGGCCCTTGACAACAGATAGCCTTTGATAATAGATGACCTTTATATACCAATGGCCCTTGACAACAGATGGCCTTTGATAATAGATGACCTTTATATACCAATGGCCCTTGACAACAGATGGCCTTTGATAATAGATGACCTTTATATACCAATGGCCCTTGACAACAGATGGCCTTTGATAATAGATGACCTTTATATACCAATGGCCCTTGACAACAGGTGGCCTTTGATAATAGATGACCTTTGATGACTGATGACCTTCCACAATGACTGATCTTTAATGTCAGATGACCCTTGATGACAGATTACCATTGATGACTACTGACCTTTGACAACAGGTTTTGCCAATGACAATGGGTTTATCTTTGATAAGACATTACCAGCTATGACATTAGACAGACTTTAATCAGATAGACCCATTGACAAAAACATTAATATAGATTTTGGTATACAAAATTGGTCATTCAAACAAGGTAGTTAGTTTTACAGCCAACAAAAATGTGACCATTTTACAAAAATTAAGACAAATAGCTGAATTGATAGAACATATAAAAATCTAAATTTATAACTTCAACAAAACTGTTTGAGACAGTATTTTTTTTCTTTTGAAAATATAAAATTTCTCTTCCAACAATAGTGACTGTTAAATGAAATAATGTATGTCTGTTACTTATCAATGGGATAAGCAAAAATTTTAAACAATTAGGTTACATATATAAAAAATCTCATTCAAACAGAAGGGCTGGTACCATCATAATGTTTGAATACTTGAGGGTTATAAATTTAGGAATTGCAAATGATAAACAGGAATAAAACTTGATTAAACAAACCTTAAAGCTCAGTCTGTCTTGGATGTCTAGCAAAAATCTTAATACTTTTGAATGTGTACAGTAGAGTGTGACACAAGCATATTCAATAGTTAAGATTTATTTCTATTAACCAACATCTTTTCTGCGATAATAAACTTTGCAACCATAATATACAGCCAGGGCAGCCAGCGTAATCCAATGCAGTCTAAATAGGCTCTCTTATATTAAACTGTACATCAGTTTTTGAATTTCGATGTTAAGAATACCCTTAAATTTCAAATGGACTGTTCCAAATTCAAAAGCAAGGGAAATTTCATTACACAAATCTAACAGGTTAAGGGTTAAGAAAGTGAAAATAAACCAGGAGCAACATGCATGAAGATTATAGCACCATATAGTATGTTATTCTCAGATAAATGGCACACAATTATAATGTTATTATTGATACAGGTGTCTTTATCTAAAGTTATTGGCATATGAAAACATAAATATTTCAGGATTGACGTTAAGATAAGGTTTCCAGTAATAATGTACTTCCATTATATAGATAATCATACATTGTATAGGAAATGGATATTGTATTTTGCACTTGTAAATTTGCCTGTTATTACTTTACCTCTAGGATAAAAGTTTACAAATATAATAAACAATACTTTATAAAATTTAAAATATAAATGTAAATGTGTTTGTATGATTAAAGTATAGGAGAATAAATTAAACAAAAATCATAGTTTTGCACCTAGACAAATATATTTAGTTGAAAAACACTTGATAAATTATTACTGATTTCACCTACAGTTAGGTGGTTAAGTGCAGTGTATAGATGTACTTGTGTTTCTTATAAAGGATAACAATCTGTGACCTTTTCATTTGACCTACTGACCTAAATAAGCGGCTATTATAATGATTTACCTGAAGTTCAAGGTCAACATATTAATGACATATTCAAATTATTTGACAATAGCATCATTTAATGTTTGTTTACTAATAAACAAATTTCAGGTTGAGGTCACAGTGCTGATAATATTTGTTACAATACTATTTGATCAAATAACTTAACATGTAAACTTTAATTTGTGTCGTAAATTAACAATTGGTTAAACAACACACTATAAAGTTCAAGATCACACAACTTTGACCTTTATATTACTTATATTAATGTTATATTAATGTTGATATTTAGCATAACAATCAAAATTTGTCATTATAACCATCTCAACATTAACTCTCCATGTCAATGGACAACAGTATCTGAAACAAGACACTAAGCAATAAATGACCTATATAATTTTGTCCTAAAATAAGTTCATACATCTCTGTTACATGTTACAGTCAATTCAACAGCCAAGGCATGCACACAAAATGCACGGAAATATTGGTTGTGACATTGTAAGTCTCTGAATACTGCCACACTGTCTCCCTCACTCAAAATGCCAGCTTCACTGTCTTATAGATTATGCATAAATTCAGATTTACGATGTAACAATAAAAGGAAACTTACGTAATCACTTTTGATAAATAACGCCTTTCTGCATTTCTGCGTGTTGTTTTACCATCATCCAATAACACCTCCAACTGACGACTGCAAATAGAATATAAAAAATTAATCAGTTGAATGCTTAAGCAGTTGATTTAATATCTTAAGTATCTTACTCAGTTACCGTACAATGTGACCAGAACACCTGAGTTGAGCAGGGCAACACCAGAGTTAATTATAATTATAATTAAGTTAAAAATTCCTGAGATTTAATTAATTACATCAAGTTACTTATGAGTGTGCCATTTGACAAGAACACACAAGTTAACCAGGGTATGAGTTAAATTAGTAATGAGACTTAATTACACCAGGGTACCAGTATAAGCTACGTGACTTATTTTCAGATATAAATTAATGTTCATCGATTAAAGTTCAAAGTTCCATTTGTCATCAAACATTTAACAAAGTACATGTTACATTAATTGACTATGCATAATGGTAGCAATCAGATGTAAACTCATGTATAGAGAAATTATAGCTGTTGCAAATTAAGTAACTAGTTTTCTCCCTTACAAGAGGTTAACAGTACTTCATTAAACAACAGCTGTCCGTAAGACAGCGCACTCTGTAAGACAGCGCACTCTGTAAGACAGCGCACTCCGTAAGACAGTGCATTCCTTTAGACAGTGCACACTGCAAGACTGTGCATTCCGTAAGATAGCGCACTCTGTAAGACAGCGCACTCTGTAAGACAGCGCACTCTGTAAGACAGCGCACTCTGTAAGACAGTGCACTCTGTAAGGCAACGCACTCTGTAAGACAGCGCATTCTGTAAGACAGCGCACTCTGTAAGACAGTGCATTCCTTTAGACAGTGCACACTGCAAGACTGTGCATTCCGTAAGATAGCGCACTCTGTAAGACAGCGCACTCTGTAAGACAGCGCACTCCATAAGACAGAGCACTCCATAAGACAGGGCACTCTGTAAGACAGTGCACTCTGTAAGACAGGGCACTCCATAAGACAGAGCACTCTGTAAGACAGCGCACTCCATAAGACAGAGCACTCTGTAAGACAGCGCACTCTGTAAGACAGCGCACTCCATAAGACAGAGCACTCCATAAGACAGAGCACTCCATAAGACAGCACACTCTGTAAGACAGTGCACTCTGTAAGACAGGGCACTCCATAAGACAGAGCACTCCATAAGACAGAGCACTCCATAAGACAGAGCACTCCATAAGACAGAGCACTCCATAAGACAGAGCACTCCATAAGACAGCGCACTCTGTAAGACAGCGCACTCTGTAAGACAGCGCATTCCATAAGACAGGGCACTCTGTAAGACAGCGCACTCCATAAGACAGGGCACTCCATAAGACAGAGCACTCCATAAGACAGAGCACTCCATAAGACAGAGCACTCCATAAGACAGAGCACTCCATAAGACAGCGCACTCTGTAAGACAGCGCATTCCATAAGACAGGGCACTCTGTAAGACAGGGCACTCTGTAAGACAGAGCACTCCATAAGACAGAGCACTCCATAAGACAGGGCACTCCATAAGACAGAGCACTCCATAAGACAGAGCACTCCATAAGACAGAGCACTCCATAAGACAGAGCACTCCATAAGACAGCGCACTCTGTAAGACAGCGCACTCTGTAAGACAGCGCACTCCATAAGACAGAGCACTCTGTAAGACAGCGCACTCTGTAAGACAGCGCACTCCATAAGACAGCGCACTCCATAAGACAGAGCACTCCATAAGACAAAGCACTCTGTAAGACAGCGCACTCTGTAAGACAGAGCACTCTGTAAGACAGAGCACTCTGTAAGACAGCGCACTCTGTAAGACAGTGCACTCCATAAGACAGAGCACTCCATAAGACAGAGCACTCCATAAGACAGAGCACTCCATAAGACAGTGCACTCTGTAAGACAGCGCACTCTGTAAGACAGCGCATTCCATAAGACAGGGCACTCTGTAAGACAGCGCACTCCATAAGACAGAGCACTCCATAAGACAGCGCACTCTGTAAGACAGCGCACTCCATAAGACAGAGCACTCCATAAGACAGAGCACTCCATAAGACAGCACACTCTGTAAGACAGCGCACTCTGTAAGACAGGGCACTCCATAAATCCATAAGACAGAGCACTCCATAAGACAAAGCACTCCATAAGACAGCGCACTCTGTAAGACAGCGCACTCAGTAAGACAGCGCATTCCATAAGACAGGGCACTCTGTAAGACAGCGCACTCCATAAGACAGGGCACTCCATAAGACAGAGCACTCCATAAGACAGAGCACTCCAAAAGACAGAGCACTCCATAAGACAGAGCACTCCATAAGACAGAGCACTCCATAAGACAGCGCACTCTGTAAGACAGCGCACTCTGTAAGACAGCGCATTCCATAAGACAGGGCACTCTGTAAGACAGGGCACTCTGTAAGACAGCGCACTCCATAAGACAGAGCACTCCATAAAACAGCGCACTCTGTAAGACAGCGCATTCTGTAAGACAGCGCACTCCATAAGACAGAGCACTCTGTAAGACAGCGCACTCCATAAGACAGGGCACTCCATAAGACAGAGCACTCCATAAGACAGAGCACTCCATAAGACAGCGCACTCTGTAAGACAGCGCACTCCATAAGACAGGGCACTGACTGTAAGACAGGGCACTGACTGTAAGACAGCGCACCCTGTAAGACAGCGCACCCTGTAAGACAGCGCACTCTGTAAGACAGCGCACTCTGTAAGACAGTGCACTCTGTAAGACAGTGCACTCTGTAAGACAGCGCACTCCGTAAGACAGCCCACTCTGTAAGACAGCGCACTCTGTAAGACAGTGCACTCTGTAAGGCAACGCACTTGACTATTCTCAGTGTTTGACAGTTACAAATGGTGCATAACTTTGTTTAAAAGGTAACTCTGAGTTATGGGGACCAGTGTACCCATCATGTTTGATAATCACCAAGAACAAGTGTATGAAGTTTCAACCAATTCCCTTCAATAGTTTTTGAGATACCAACTTGCACACAAAAGCTAAACCAAAGCTTGATGCTGATGCTGAAACCTAAACCAGGATGAGTACAAATTAAAGCTCTCCCTTTTCCTCAAATAGTTTACCTTAAAACTATAGCATTTCATTAAGTTTGTACAAACTTATTTATGTATAGTCATGTCCAAATTGGATACAAAACAATTAAAATCCTTATTGAAAGCAAAAAATAAAAATATGAATATAACATTAGGATATCATTCATATTCAAATAATTTGCTTGTACACATGATAAGTTTACTTAATCTTGCTAGAAAAATGACACACACACACACAAAATATTTATCAATGACTCTTGATTTTTATATAAACAATTTAATACAAATACTTGTATTTTTATGATTTTGTACAAAATGGACAAAAGCTAATAAAACAAAATATATATACCAAATATGCTATAAAATATTCATATTAACCACAAAAACACTCATTATTATTTTTTATGTGTTTGGCAATCAAACATAAAATTTCACTGCATCCTAAACACCTATTTTCCCAGTCAAATATGATTAAAAAAAATAGAATTATTTAACACACAGCTTGAGAAACTCCACCTCACAAGCAAAATGTAGCATCAGACATTATAACATTAATAATTTCTTTCTAATTTCTGGCTCTTAAAGTCATACAGAGTGTGAAAAAATTGAAGAAAAGGTAATTATTATAATGAACATTTTATATTCAAACACAATTAATGAAATAATCTGTCTTCCAAAATAATAAAAATCATTTTCAAAATATAGTAAGCTTCTATTTTGGAACATCATAATGTAGCATTGTTTAACTACATATTAAACATAATGGCAGTCAAAACAAAAATTCATCACTTTTCAAGAAATTTTAGCTACCAATAAATTAAAAAGTTACCATAGAAAACAAAAAGGTAAATATATCCCTAAAGTAAAGTCTTGTTTTTTCCTATTTGCTAGATGCCATGCTATAGAGTATCAGTATATAAGTGTAATCAAGCATACCAATATCATCTTATACTAAAACAAAACTTTAGTGGTAGTTGTTTGAAGTTTTATATCTCTCATTAGAAACATTAGCCTTTTGTGGCAAATGACTAAGTCCCCTTTGGTCTAATTGCCAGATCAATATCAGTTTATTTGTAACAATCTGAGATAACAAACACTCTTAACTTGTTTTCACTTGTTGCTAGTTTTCTCTCTCTCTCCTTTTCTCTTTATTTAAAGGCTTTGAAAGATGTTTTAAAGCCCCTCTGGTTTGTATTTTTTAAACAAGAGGGCCATGATGACCTTGCATGGCTCACCTGAGATATATTGCTAGAAAAAGATTATAATTCTTCTATGTAGAAGTAAGTTATTAGTTCACACTGGATGTTTCATTTTTTATCCCAGCTGAGTAATTCATAAGATATATGTTGGTGACTGCTAGGAAATGCTACATGCCAAATATATAAGGGCTTCATACAAGAAGACATAAAGTCTGTGTGTAAACTAAGTGACCCCTAGACAGGGTCAATTTTAACCCCAGGTGCTTGATTAACATAGATTTTGAAAATGACCACAAATAATGCTACAGGCTAAATATTAAATTGTAGTTTCAGAGGAGAAGGTTCTTAAAGATATGTTTACTCTGTTAACTATGTGACCCCAGACAGGGGCCATTAATGACTCCAGGGGATGGATGACTTTAGTAACTTTTAAGAGGTACACTTGACAATGCTACATGCCAGATAATTCATAGCATTGTACTTAACACATTAAAAAAGCCTCACACATATTTTTCTTATATAACTACAATGTAGGTGTCCCCTGGGATGGTGCCCAAATTTGCACATAGGTGTGATTTATATATTGGTAACCTTTCTAGAGGAACACAAAAAAATGCTACAAGCCAAATATCTTTGCTCTGAGCGTTGTAATCAAATGTTTATTTTTTTTAAAGATTTCAATATAAAAGTCTATTTTCATCTTTTGTGACCTACTTAGTCTGGAACCATTTACATAATTTTGTAAACTTCCTTGGCCTGCTGCCATATAAAAGAATGATTTAGTAAAAATTCAACAGA